CCCCCCCCCCGCCTCAGGAGATCCCCTTCCAGGAAACGCTGTCAGGGTTCAGAATCTGATGATAACTTTAAATGCGATAAATGGAACATTTGGAGATATCAATTTGAGCTAGCATCCAAGTCTTTTATTCCATCTTTACAAAATTCAAATACTATTTTTTATAATAATAATCTCATGGAATGTATTTGTTTGGCCACATAGGGAGAGAAACAATGTTCACAGTTCAGCAAATGGAAATGGGACACTTTTCCAGAAGCAGGAGCAGCATTGAGGATTGAATATTCTTGAAAAGGTTTACATTGGGAGCAAAGCTAAACTGCAGAACGAGCAGGTACTCAAACCAGGAGCATTTTCTATTTTGTATAAAAATAGAAATTTTCAGCAAAAGCAATGTATTTTTTTAAACATATTTTTATAGCCCAGTGAATTAGAAAGTAACTCTTTACACTACAAACATTTAAATAGAAAGGTCTCCAAGGGTTTGCATGTGTTTTTTTCTGTATTTTGTTTTTGTTTTTGTTTTTGTTTGCTATAGGGCGTGTGTACTCACCAGAGAGAGACAAAAACAGAGGTGAGAGAGAAATAAGCCCCCAAGGGGGATGGCCGTGCCACAATCCCTTCTTCTCCATTCTCCTCTCAGGATTTTGGACACCCACACAAATGCATCTGCCATGATTTTCAAGTCACTGAGTCCTGGACTTGAACTCATATATTTGAGTTAAGTAAGTTCTAGCACCTTAACTTCCATGCCACCTGCTGGCACTGGCTGTTTTCTTTTTTTAGTTGATTTATTTCTCCCATGAGAAAGAGACAAAGAGAGGTACTCCCCCCCACACAAATACACACAGGGCTTTCACATTGTGATTCGCCATCGGCCTCAGCTAGCCAGGATCACCAGTACGTGCGCATGCCCAGCATGCACCGTGAGACCTGGGGTCATAACCCAGGACTTCCCAATATGGCAGCAGCATGGTGGAGCACTGAGTTACTGCTGCACCCCTATAGCTGACCCAATCTCCCAATTATGAGAAAAAAATTATGCGGGAATTTTTGAAGATCAATGAATACTTAAAGTGAAATATTTTCATATCTCTTTTCTACTTCTTTTCCCTTACTCAAGAAAATGTTCAAATGATGTTAGCAGATGAAAATTACTTCATATCTTACCTTCGCTGGTCTGAGGTCACTAGTGTGTCCTAAAAATGTCTTGAAATCCTGATATCTCATCCAAAGGCACCCTGACTAGCAGTGGCTATGACAATTTAGGGCAGAAATAATCCCATAGAAGCTAGACATATCACACCATACAAGCGAGTGCCCACCCCAGCCCTTGAAAAGCTACCCTTGTTTTGCTTGCAAACTCATTTTCTCTCTCTCATTCTCTCTATTTTCCAGTGTCCTATAGAGTGGCCGGGTTCCTGAAATAAGACCTGTGTAATTCTCTTACATTGTGCATTTTCCTGGATTATTAGCGATTCTTTTAGGTCAAGCAGTTGGTAAGATACACAAAGTTCTTTCCAACAGGAGACATTGGAAAAACTCACTGACACAGTGCATTATGAAGAAAAATGCATGCATCTGGGTTAGTTTGAACTTTACTTGCTCCACAGATGTTAGCATAATGAGGAGTAAATCCTGTTGGCTGCAGGCTTGTGATCTGAAGTCAGCCAACAGCATTCAAAAATTGGCTTTACCCAGCAACCAGCAGTTAGCATAATGGCTATGTCGCTGGACTCCCACGTAGTCGACTGCGGTTTCACGTCCTGGACCCGGTGGCTTAAAACTCACGCCGGGCGCGTGTGCATGCGTGCTCAAGATCCCGAGAGGAGAATGGAGAAGAAGGGATTGCGGCGTGACCATCCCCCCTGGGGGGTGATTTCTCGCTTTCTGTCTCTATGTCTCTCTCTGTCTGGCGAGCGCACACGCCCTACAGCGAAAACCTCTCCAAAAATAAATAGGCTTTACCTCACACAGAAAAACAGTACAACCCTTCTCCTGTTCATAACAAGTCAACCATTTCCACCGTGAACATCTTACCTTTGATGGCTTGAGCAGGCTTTTTGCATCTCTCTCCTCCTTATCCGTCCCTCAGACTCCACATTCAGCCACACCACTGAGCAGAAAACCTCAAACAGGACCTACCTGTGGAGTGAGTTTCCCAACCCTCTGGGTTATTGGCTCATTCATCACGACTTCCACTTTGCAGGCATCTTTCTCTTTGGGGATGGCAAACTTCAGGTCATCTCCTGACAGGAAGGCGGAGCCGCCCTTCATCACTCGGAGTCCACGGTTCACGCTGACGAAGGTGGGGCCGGCCTCGGGCAGGAGCAGGAGCAGGAGCAGCAGCAGGAGCAGCAGGAGCAGGGCCCCGGGCCCAGCCCAGCGCAGGGAGTTCATGCTGACGGGGGCAGCTTGCTTCCGTCCACGTCCAGCGAAATCCTTCAACAAAGGAGGGTTTCTGTGCTGCCTCCTGGAGTGTCAGCTCATAGTCTAAGGGGCAGGGCAAGGGGTCCCGACAATGTGCCCTGAGATCTTAACATGCCCTTTCATTTCAGGCTCCACAAGGAGGCCTTTCAGGCAATCCCGAGGCTTTTAATAAAACTCGCTGATCACTTCTGACAACGCCAGCAAGATTAATGTGCCTCCCAAGTGCTTTTCTAATCCTGCAAATGGGAGAAGGGGTTGGAGGAAAGGGAGACCAAAAGGTTTATGCGGCTATTCAAAAGATTGTTACTGACAAAGGAATCTTTCAACCAGCCTATAATTTCAGCTAAATTAAAAACAAATAAACTAACTTGACCTCAGGCCCATCCAGAAGGCAATGCAGCCATTTGGTTACCCCGCTGTAGCTCCTGCTTCCGGACTCAACAAACCCTACTCCGGGCATCAGCTGTGTGGTCCAGCAGACAACCAGTCTCTGCAAAGGGCGCCCGTTGGGTCCTCTGGGTTCAGGGAAAGTCGTTGAACTCTTTGCTTCTGTTACTTTATTTGCTCATTAAAAATTAAATCTAATTTGCATCAGAGAGTAAGCAGGACTACTTGCACAGTTTGAAAGCATGATCCTCTCTAGCAACACTAACCAGATAAGAAATAAGCCTAGTAACTTGTCCTATTGGGCGCAATTCTGTCTTTGCTGGGCAAATGATGGGAGATTGGAGAAAACATTTTTTCTAAGTCAACATTTAAGTTTTCGTTTATGTATATGTAAAAGGGTCTATGGATCAAATGGCACAGCTCTGGTCTGCACAGCAAATATCATGGTGTACTTATATGCATGTTCAGGTTACCTACAATGCAAATCACATTATAATAGCCTCAATTTGCACAAAGGGAGTCTTTGTTTCTACTTTAACCACTTAGAATTTTATGATTACTTCCTTGTGTTCTGCTAGAATTGGAAAGATTTTATCCAAAGGAAAATGTATTGAAACATATTCTTAAATTCAGAGTATGATTAGGTGAACAAATGACAGTTTGTTATGTCCAAAGAAAGAACTTTCATTTTAGTGACTTGAAAAATTTTTGTGCATAACCAATGGATACTGATGTAAATAATTGTTTGTCAGAATGGTTAAGACCAAAATACCTCATTATTTATTTATTTTTTTAATTTGCTATAGGGCATGTGCACTCACCAGAGAGAGAAGACAGGGATGGAGAGAAACTGTGAAAGTATACCCCACCCAAGATCCTGGTTGCACATACACACACATGCACACACATGTCTGGTGTATTTTTCAAGCCGCTGGGATGGAATTTCAACCACGGTCTACCATATGGGATCCAGTTCCCTCTACATAGTACTTACCCACTGCACTACCTGGCTAGCCCAGTTTTTCTCATAATATGCATTTTCCATAAAGTTTTTTTTTTTTTTTTGGGGAGGGTTTTTCCCCTGGGGACCGTGGCCCCCAGAGGTTTTCACCATAGGGCACGTGCGCTCGCCAGACAGACAGAAACATAGAGACAGAAAGCAAGAAATCACCCCCCCAGGGAGGATAGTCATGCCACAATCCCTTCTCCTCCATTCTCCTCTCGGGAATCTTGAGCACACATGCACACGCACCCAGCGTGAGTTTTAAGCCACCAGGTCCAGGACACAAACCGCAGTCGACTACGTGGGAGTCCAGCGACATAGCCATTACACTAACTGCTGGTTCCCAAGTTTTTGAACATTCCTTGTATTTGTTAAATGAGTGAATAAATTGGTGAAGACAATGCCTCAAGTTCCTTTATACCACTTATAGTTCCACAAAGAATATTAGTATATCTAAAGAAAGAATTGCCATTGTAAGGGGGAACCATCAGCCAGGAATCAAGATGTCACATGGATTCAGTTACAGAGGGACTGTCACAAAGAGACAGAACATCTTGGCAGTGTGGACAGAGTTCATTTTCTGAAGCCATAATGCCAAGGCTGAAACTTCAAACTAGAAAATGCCACACTCCTAGATCTCTTGTTGATCAGCCTTCCTTAGGGAGCACCTCCAGTCAAACACCAGAAGAAGGAGTGACATAGGCTGAGGTAAAAATTAAAACATACCACTGTTTGTCCCTTCATTCCCAGGCAATGTGGTGAATATATCCAAAAGAGAGAAGCAAAATGGTAATAACTGCAAATGAAGCAAACACCCATCTACAAGAAAATGGCTGAATAGAGTAGGTAGATTTATGCATGAAATATAAAGTAACCTTTAAAATTTGAATTAGAGACACGTCAGTCAACTTAGATTTCCACAAGGTATTGTCAATTCGAAAAAGCAAAATGGAGAAAAGTATGTATTATATATATTTGGGGGAAGAAATGAGGCTGTAAATAACTATATGGAAATAGAAAAATATGGACAGATAACTATTATAATAGAAATTATCTGAAAGGGGCAATGTGGTATGGGTAAACAGGAGGAAGAAGAAAAGGATACTCAAGCTGAATATTTGTATGCTCCCCAAATCCATATGCTAAAGCCCTATTCCCCAATACAATGGTATATGGAAGTGGGGCCTTTTGGGTAATTAGGTTTATACCAGGCCATAAAGGTGGAGTCCTCCTGGCAGGATCCTGATGAGGGGATAAGGAGATTAGATTAGAGGATGCTCTTATATGGTTCTCTCTCTCTCTCTCTCTCTCTCTCTCTCTCTCTCTCTCTTTCTCCTATCTCTCTCTCTCTCTTCCCCCCCCCCCCTCTCTCTCTCTCTCTCTCTCTCTCTCTCTCTCTTTCTCCCCCCCCTCCCTCTCTCTCTCTGCCAGGTGAAAATACAGCAAGAGGGTGCACCTCTGCAAAGCAAGAAGAGGATACTCTAAGGATCAAATCAACAGGTGCACTGGTCTTGGACTTCCCAGCATCCAGAACTGTAAGGAATAAATTTCTTTAAGTCACCTAGTCTATTTCTGTTGTACCAACCCAAGCTGGCTAAGACAGTAATATTATTTTTAGAAAGAAAAAACAAAGTATGCAATTTAAAATTGCAACAACCAGGCTGGCCCCTAAACCTAGTAGTTATAGAAATTGACCCCACATGGCCAACTGCAGTTTGAATCCCCGTGCCAGTGGCTTGAAAACCACACTGGGCACATGTGCATGGGTGCTCATCATCCTGACAGGATGAGGAAATGGAGGAAAGGGGGCTGCAGTGTGACCACACCCCATTAAAGGGTGCTTTCTCTCTGTCTCTGTCTCTCTGTCTCTCCCTCTTACAAGTGCACATGCCTCTGGCAATTGAAAACATGCAACACAATTTGGGACCAGCAGATGGCATAGTGGTTATGTCACTGGACATCCACCTAGTTGACCACAGTCCAAGTCCCAAACCCAGAGGCTTAAAACTCATGCCAGACACATGTGTGTGCATGCCCAAAATCCTGAGAGGAGGATAGAGGGAAAGGGATTGCGGTGTGGCCATCCTCCCTGGGAGGTGGTTTCTTGCTTTCTGTCTCTCTGTTTCTCTCTGTCTCTCCTGCAAGCACACTCCCTAAAGTAAAAATCTCTCTCTCAAAAAAATGTAACAACCTATATATAAAAATCATACTGTGTGCATTTTGTGTGATGTAAAGAGAAGCTTTAGGAACCAGTCGATATATGGTGCAATGGTTACATCGCTGGACTCTCATGTAGTCAACCAAGGTTCGAGTCCTGGACTCAGTGGCATAAACCTCAAGCCGGGTGCATGTGCATGCATACCCAAATCCTGAGAGGAGAATGGAGAAGGGATTATGTCATGGCCATTCCCCCTGGGGGAAGATTTCTCACTTTCTGTCTCTTTATCTCTCTCTGTCACTCTGGCAAGCACATGTGCCCTATAGCAAAAAAAAAAAAATCTCAAAAAGAAAAGGAACTTCAAAACGATTTTTAGTTTAAAGGGTTTTTTTTAAAGTATGTTTGTATAGCACTTGAAAATAAACACTTTTAAGAACAACAATTTTGATAGATAACAGTGACACTACATAACAAAAGGTACATCCTCTGACAAAGCCAATACAAAGCAAGCCTATCTCACATGTAGGTGTGTCATTATGCCACTATATTGCTTAACTGAAAATACGTTAAAAAATGTCATGAATATAATTAGGTCCCTAGTACCTCTCCATCAAGGTACAAAGGGCTTCCTTTTCAGATGTGACCACCCATCTAGTGGGAGACCATTAATCCTAAATGAAACCAAAGAACATAGCAAAAAGGCAAGTCCCCATAGGATTTCACCCAACAGCCATCTCCGATGGATTGGTCAGAAGTGTGTGTCAGCCTCTGCAAGAACAGTCTTTGCAAAGGTAGGTATATACACACGCTGTCCTGGGATCCCCTTTTCCTCCTACCATCTCATTCAACAGCTGAAACAAGTCCTCTTTGAAGGCCCGCAGATGATTTAAATTGTATGAGGACACATAATCCACAGTCACATTCTTGATCCTTATCCCTGTAGTGAAGTATTGGGCAGCTTGTCTCTAGACCACCCCCTTTGTACCCTAGATCACAGCTCAGTGACCATTGACCGTGCCTGCATGTTCACAGCTGGACCTGGGTACAAAGTAGGAACATGTCAATTTCAATGGAAGCAAAGCTATCTTAGAAACTTTGCCAAATTATACAAATAGGAGTTTAATGACTTTATATATGTTTTGATTTAGCACTGTCTTAAAAAGAAAGACTTTATATATGTTTTGATTTAGCACTGCCTTAAAAAGAAAGACACGTGGACCTAAATGAAACAGTTTCAAAATCCTGTTTCATGTTAGCAATTTAAAATACCAAATAAGCTCCCCTTCCATATGTTATTAAGATAATATAGTAAATGCACCCTTCCTTTCTCTAATGGTTACTTAGTAATTTTTCCCCAACATCTATCTGTGATAAGAATGCGTGTGTTCCACAATATCCATCCTCATCTTCTTCTGTAGAAATAGACATTTTTAACTGAATACAGAGTCAGCCAGAACAAAGATTGTATTTCACACTTTCTTTCAGCTCTCTGTGACCGGACCCTGGTCATGGATTTTTTTTTTTTTTTAGTTTGTTCTTTTATTTATTTATTTTATATTTCATTTTCTTTTATACGGTCTTGGAATTTTTTAAAAGATGCCACATGACAGTTTGAGAAAATGTCTGAGAAAAGGTAGTTATTTGCATGTTCCTTTTTTCTTTATGCCCCTGACCACCTTGCTAACTGGTTGGATTAGCAATGTGGTCTTAGACATTAAAAAACAGGGCCATGCCATAGGTTATCAGAAGGTGGTCTAGAAGGAACTGAATCTCTGGGAGATTTGCAAAGCAGTCACCAAACCAACCCGTTCTTCCAAAGTTTTACATGGCAGAGAATGTAAATGTGTTTCCTGTTGAACTCTGTTATTTGAGGACTTTTTTTTGGTTACTCATGACTGAACTTTACACCTTTAATAATCACTTTGTTCTTACATCTTTTGTATTAATGTAGTCTCTCATCAGCTGAAGATTACCTTTTTACTTCACAACCTCTGGGACAGCAGCAGGTTCTCCAATTATATTAGAGGAAGTTCTTAACCAGGAGGTAGAGTTGGAGTCCAAGTTCCTATCCTTTTCCCACTAAAAAGAGATAAGAAAAAAAAGAAGAAAATCTCTCTCTGTGGCTCTTTTTGTCTTGTTATTGTGAAAAGATTGCAACTGAATCCTGAAGATCTGGATTCTAATTCCAAGGATCAGGATTCTAATCCCGGTTCTTGCGATTATCAGTTTCCTCTTTTAAAAATGGAGTCATCCATCCTGCCTGTGAGTTTCCCTGTGAGGCCAAATGAAAGGATCAGGATTCTAATCCCGGTTCTTGCGATTATCAGTTTCCTCTTTTAAAAATGGAGTCATCCATCATCCTGCCTGTGAGTTTCCCTGTGAGACCAAATGAAAAAACATGTGTGGAAATTTGTCTTAGTTATAGAACCTCATAGAAACATGATGTTATCATTATAAAATATACCAAGGTAATGAGAGAGTAGAGCATTCTCAGAAAAAATACAGCAGTAGGAATTAGGCTGTGAGTGTGGTGCAAAATTAGATGCAATAAATATCAGAGTCTGTCTGCTTACATTCTGAATTTCTTTTTTCTTCCTTGTGGTCTTAAGACAGGATGAATGAAAAACAGAATTCTAATATTTCAAAACCAGCCTGAAGCTTTAATTTACAGGGACAAAAAGTATGAGAAGAAACAAATTCCAAATTCAACATCAAACAAAATTTATCCTTTAATCAACAGAGCCTGGGTGATGCTGTAAAATTAGGCGCAATGAAGACTAAAATGAGTATGCTTTATTTGTGTTTATTTACATTCTAGTTTTGCTCCTGTGTTTTTCTCTTGGTGTTGGAAAACACCAAGGAGACATTCAGTGGAAAGTACTGTTCGGGTTTTTCACTTCAGGTAGCAGGTATGAGAGGGGAAAGAGAAGGAAATGGGGATGAGTAGAAGGAGAAAAAAGGCAAAAAAGGAGAACAGAACAATAGCAAAGCAAAGCAAGACTGTAGCAAATAAGAGTTCAGAGATGACGATGGGGTTTTTGTCTCACCCCAAATAAGATCAGTAGTTGTCTTTTCTCTGACTCGACATTACGATGTTCTTTTTTTTTTTAACTTACAGGCATTCACTGTACATCCACACAGTATACAAAATGAGATTTTCCATCCAGAATGCACTGTCTATTGGCTCAAAGATCTTACCATACATGTTATCACCAACAAATAATTTTCTATTTCTTGTTTCTTGTTTCTTAAATCTTTCACTTTTCCCCCCTTGATTCCCTACCTCTCACCCTCTGCCAATTTCCCACCTTCTTCCACACTGTCTCTGGTATGTACAGTTGTTTTCCATGCCTTTTTTTTTTTCACATTTTATTGATTCACTAAAGATCTTAATTAATTTCAAAACATTTGATATCAAGCACAGCTGATATCAAATATACATATCTATGAATGCATGTCTGACTTTAGGCGTAAACCTCAGTGAGTAAAGTGAACATACTATAAAGTAGCACCTGGCTGGGGCTATATAGCTCACTGCGATCATTAAATAGGTATTAATAGGGTTTTTTTAATTTCAAGAGAAATAGTTTTAGTTTTATTAGACCAAAATAAAAAAATGTTAAGAGAAATTTGTTTAATACTTAAAGCCAGGAAAAAGGTTAGGATTCAGTTCAAATGGTAGGTAGATGAACCTATCAACAGTTCAATAGAAGGCAAAAATCCTTAAATGTGGAAATCAAAGCATTGAAGAAAATCGGTAACATTTTTGTCTAAAGTAAAAAAATTCTATTTCACTAGTTCAGACTCATGTCATTAATCTCTATTTTATTGAATTCGCAGTGTTAGTGTCATTTAATCTTTCCATTTAAACTCTGGGAGTTAGCATTCAACTCTGGACTTGTCCCTACCATTAGGCAGGCCATTCGCTTGGTTATTTTTTGTACTCCTATTTCTGTGTGACTGACTTTATAGTTTTCAAGGTATAACACTCCTTTCAGCACTTCTTGGAGAGCTGGTCTTTAGGAAGCATGACAGATTCAGAACCACTGAGAGAGCCCTCCCTCAAGCTATGCCATCATGATGGTAGGAGAGGGAAAAATCCTTTTTTCCTATCTTCGTTTCATTGGTTGAGGTCCTATAAATTAGACTGAAAAAAATTAATGACAAAGAAACATACCAATTTATTTAATATAGGTATTATAAAAACTGAAGCCTTCATAAGGAAATAAAGACCAGAAAAAAAAATTAAGCCTGAGCATTTTCGTACTAGATGGATAAAGAGTGGGAAGTTGTGGGGACATGTGACAGGACAAAGTGGTGAGACTAAGAGTGGGAAACTAGGGGCAATTTAGCCAGGCCTGCTGGTTCAGCTTCCTTTCAGGGTCCTCATCTCCAGAGGTAAGAATGCGCCCTTCCTCCTGGTATAAGGAGAGCACCTCTCACATGAGGGTCTTATGACCTGCTGTTCAAGTGAGAAGGTCAAGGAGTCTTCCCAGCATCTGCCATTTCTCAAAGTTTAAAAAAATTCAATATGCCAAGGTGTCCTATTTTGAGGTCACAAACCCCGATGGAATGTATCATGATCAAGGGTGCAAGGACAGACAGACCTTTGACTGCTACACAAACCCATTAGGCTTCTTTCCATTTCTATGAAAAGAAATTACCTGAGCCCAGGCAGTATAAGAAGATACCGGCTTACTGAGCTCACAACATGGTGGTCCAAACTCAAGGGCCAAATCTGTCGTCCCAAGGAATCACATCGCAACAGCAAGAGCGGAGTGCAGCTATGTCCATCCACGTGTCTCTGGTCTGGTCTCATTCCCACTTTTTTTTTTTTTTAACTGTATTGTTTAAATAATTATTTATTTCGTGTCTCTGGTCTGGTCTCATTCCCACTTTTCTTTTTTTAACTGTATTGTTTAAATAATTAATTATTTATTTATTTATTTTATTCATTCATTTATTTTAATTTGACGAGATAGACACACACACACACAGAGAGAGAGAGAGAAAGAGAGAGAAAGCAAGTCACCAGGTCTGGAACTTGAACCATGGTCAGCCATGTGGGAGTGTCCAGCCCCCCAACCACCACGCCACCTGCTAGCCCTCATTCCTTCTTCTTATAAACCCACCATAATGTAATCATAGTCCCCACAATCACCTCACCATTCTCAAACAGCACCTTTCAACATCATGAAGGCATTAAGTTTCCTCTTAATAACTCAATACAACGAAGTTCCAACACATGAATTTTGGGGACGACAACCAAACCACTGTAATTTCCTTCCTTAGACTGCAACAATTCAACATCTAGCCTGCTAATGAAGGCTGTACTTTGCAAACTGTACTTCTGAAAATGCACATTTGGGAGATGTTTAAAAATCTTCAACAAAAAAGTCCTCTATTTTCAAATATGTATGAAGCACAGAATGCTAAAATCTCTTTTCAAAAATTGTCCTGAGGAAAGAAACTTTCTAAGCCCAAAGTTTGCAAATTCATAGAAAACCTTTTTTGTCCCTTTCATAAAAAAGAAAAAGCCTAGGTTCTTTGAGAAATCATTCAAGAGACACTAGTTTAGAGAATTAAAGTGATTGAAATATAGGCCAACCAGTTGGTATCTACAAAATTTCTGGTCATGCCGGATAAATCCATACTTAATTTATCTACATTGGAAATCCAAACTTCTGGCTGCAGAGGCCTTCCTCCAAAACTACCCTCAAAGATACAGAAAACCAATTACAGAGGGAAAGATTTTATACCCTCAGAAGTTCTGTTTTCAAGGATTATTAAAGTTTGTGAGAACATCAAAAGAATTTTCCTGAAGATTAGGCAGTAGCCATAATCTAAATTATTTTTGCTTTTAGCCTGAGGGTTGTGGCATACATGTTTTCACAAAAGATTGCTTAAATTGAATAACTTAGAGTAAACAACACCCACTCACATTCACTGTGGTTGACTAGACCCTATTCCTCACGTGGGATTAATCGCATGCTGGTGGGCCCTCCCCACCGGAATCACTGGGACTGAAATTCCATTTTCTCTTCTTGAGTGAATTCTGTGTTTCTTAGTTCACAAGGAAAGTGATAACTCTGCTTGAATCCACATTAAATGATGTCAGAAGTTTATCTTTGACATCAATCCCATTGATTGGATCTAGAATACATTCTGGTTCTTTATTTGGATATGACATAGTCATTTGGTCATCCATTTTACAAACTATTATTGAGTACTCATTTTGTGACAAGTGCTAGACAAGTACTGAGAATATAAAGACAAAAAAGAGGGGCCAACAGGTGGTATAGTGGTTAAGGCGCTGGACTCCCACATGACTAACCGCAGTTCAAGTTCCAGACCTGGCAGTCTGACAGTCACACCAGGCCCTTATGTGTGTGTGTGCCCAAAATCCCAGGAGGAGAATGAAGTAGAAGAGATTGCAGCTTAGCCATCCATCTTGGGGGGTGAGCTCTCATTTTCCCTTTCACTGTCTCTCTGGCAAGCACATGGCAAAAACCTTTAAAAAGGGGAGGGGTAACAAAAAATCTTGCCCTTAGAGAGTTTACAGTCTAATTCATATAGACAAACATATAAAGCAATGATTCAAAAAGGGTGGTAAATGCTATCTGATGAGATATATCGCGTACTGCAGGAATAAATAGGAGGGCAACATTTGACACAAACTGGGCTTAGAAGACAATACCTAGAAGGGGAAGAGTTAAATCTGAAAAATAGATAAGATTTAGAAAGGTGAAAAGGGGAACAAAGGGCATGTTTGAGAATGGAGAGAAAGAATGTGTCAGTCAAAAAATCAACAAGTGGATGTCATGTTAGAAGCAAAGAGTTCTTGTGTGAAAAGGTAGAGAGACAATGTGAGTTCATAAAAGGTAACCCCTGTTTCAAGAGATTGAGGTCTTACAATTTTAGCACATTCTCCATAGCTTAATAACAATACCATGGGTCTAGCAGGTGGCATGGTAGTTAAGTGGCTGGACTCCCACCTGGCTGACCATGGTTTGAGTCCCAGACCTGGCAGCTTACTTTCTTATTTTCCCTCTCTCACTCACTCTGTGTCTCTCTCTGGT